GGCTGCCCCAGCTGATCTCTCCCTCTCTGCTGCCTGTGGATGCTGTGGCACCCTCCCCATATCTGCCACCCGGGCTCGTCTCAGGAGCCCTGAGAAGCAGCAGCACTCAGCCGTGGCGCAGGGAGAGAGGGAGAGAGAGCTCTTAGTTTGTCATCTGCAGCAAAGGGACAGAATAAATTCAAGTAGATAACCCGTTCCTGTACAAAATGTGGATAGATTCCCACAATCTGGGTTTTAATAGCAATTTCTAAATTTCCTTGAGCCGATAGTTCTAGCTCCAGCACCTAAGGTCACTTTTCCTTGAGCTCCCTTCTCTCTTTTGGTGTCTTGTCTAGACATTAGAAGGGTGAGCACCATCTCAGAGCTGAACACGTCCTCTCCTCTCCTCTCCTCTCCTCTCCTCTCTTCTCCTCTCCTCTCCACAGACTCACCATGGCAGTCGAGAGGATCCATGCCCGCGAGATCCTGGACTCCCGTGGGAACCCCACAGTTGAGGTGGACCTGTACACACACAAAGGTATGCGGGTGAGGACAAGAGATGGAGGGGAAGTCCTGCCCACCCCGGCGGAGCTGGCACTGCACAGCAGCCTGGCACACTCCGCCGAGAGCATGGAGGGTCTTCTCCAGTGAACCCCTGGCAGACAGCAAGCCAGGGGAAGACGCAGAGACCAAAACTCTGCTTGTGGCTCTGCTTGTGCATGTGCTCAGCAACTTTGCACACGTGCATGTCATGGCTTGAACCATGTGACTGCTAGTAGCAGGGATGGAAAGTTTCGTTAACATAAATATATTTACCTTCTTGTCATATCACCGTGATGCCCTGCTGCAGCTATGCTTTTAGTCCTGGGACACAGTACAAATTTGGAAACACGTCCATGGCCATGCTCGTGAGGCAGGGGAAGGTTTGTCCCTGAGCTCTCTGTGCAGGTATGTACATGCACGTGTCTCAGCTGGAAGAGCTGCATCTGCGCTGGGCCCAAAGCTAGGTGGGCTGAGGGGTGAGGAGCAGTGAGGAGCCAGAGCAGGCATCCGAACAGTCTCTTCCTTCTTCACCGAGGCAGAAACCCAGCCCCAGTCTGAGGGGGAGGAAGCTGCTGGTGGCTGTGGATCAGGCTGCTTCTGGAACCAGGAGGAGGGCTGAGGAGCCAGACTTCCACCTGTCACCCGTAGTTCTGGGATCAGTGTGGACCTCTGGGTGCCTGAGATCCAGGTTTCTCAATCTGGAAGCCCTGGGTGCATTTATTTCTGCCACCCTGGTGCTCCACCTCTGAGAAGTGTTCCACCTCTGAGAAGACCAGCCATGAGCAGCCAGCCAGCTGGGCCATCTGTTTGCACAAGTGGTTGCCACATCCTTTCCCACAAAAGCAGGACAGAAGCAGGTGCATGAGGGTTTTCCCTCCTTTTCACCCTCTGCTCTTCTCACACCCGTCTTTTGCTGTTTCCCAGGCATGTTTCGAGCAGCAGTCCCCAGCGGCGCGTCCACTGGTATTTACGAAGCGCTGGAGCTGCGAGACAATGACAAGTCACGTTTCCTCGGAAAAGGTGGGGAGATGCCTGCTCCACATCATGTCCCCGGGGCTGCCTGTGCATGGGGCTCCGCTGGAGGGTACCGCGCATCCACTGGCGTGATGTGGATGTGTCCCACTGCCCTCAGGGAGACCACAGAGGCACAGACCTAGTGTAAAGTGAAAGATCAGGCCTCGATCTTCCCTCGCTGTCTCCCTCTCTCAGTCTCTCTATCGGTCCTCTCCCTCCCTCTTTCCACTCTCCTCTTTGCCTCACTCTCTCTCTCTCTCTCTCTTTCTCTGTCTCTTCCCTTCTTCAGGGGTCCTGCAGGCCGTGGATCATATCAACAGCACTGTCGCCCCAGCTCTCGTGGGCTCTGTAAGGATTTCTCTTTGTTCTCCCTTGTCCAACGCTTACTCTGGTCCGTCTCTGTCCCCTGATCTCTGTTTCTGCCTCTCTTCATCTCACTGGGTTAACAGACATAGTGATGCTCTCTGTGAACCTGGGCACACCCATCCTGCCCTCCATGCCTGTATGTGTCCGCAGCGATCTTTTCTATGGGCGGAAAGGATTTAATGCTACCTGGTCCACTGCAGCATCTGTACCACCTAACTAGCCCCCTCAATGCTCCCTGTAGAGCCCTCTTGCTCTTTCAGATGTGCTCCTCCTCAAGCACTGAATCTCATCCACATGTCTGTGGCCTCACACCCGTTTGTCTCGTCCAGCATTCATGGTGTGATGTGCAAGGTCTGGCAGCGCCGCCAGCACAGCCTTGCGGAGCGGTAGTGTCACATCTATAACCTGTTTACACGTGAAGACCTGGAGCCTGCTCTGAGGAGAGCTGAGCTGAAGCCACACGTTACACCCCATGCAGCCCGTGGGGGGGTCTGGCTGAGAGCCCAGCTCTCTCCACCCCTGAAAAATACCCGGCCTGGTGGAGGGCTGCCTGTGTTGGGCCTAATCCTGCTCTCCACCTTGCTCCGGCATATGGCTCCCTCTAGTCTACATTCGCTTGTTTGGGACTGAGCATGTACTGTTGTTCTGCCTAGCTTCTGTGTGGTCACAGCACCACAAAGCTCCCTGGAAGCTGCCAAAAGGCTGGGTAAATCCCCAAGGGAGTCCTGTGGCCCCAGCAATGCGTAGCCTTGCCTGGGCTGCTGCTGATCCCCTCTCCAGCATGGGTACAAGTACACTGCACTGCAGCAACATCATCATGGTTACCTAACTTGACTATATACCGAGGCACTAATTTCCGGAGCTTTGTGTGTATGTGTTCCCCCACAAGCTAAAAAGGTCCCTGTACCCCCAGCTTCTCCATCAACGCCTCCTTTCTCGCACACCAGAGCCAACAGCTCTTCTCAGCCTCCCCTTCTCAGGAGCTGTTTCTTTCTTGCAGGGCCTCTCTGTTGTGGATCAAGAGAAGATAGACAATCTGATGCTTGAGATGGACGGCACAGAGAACAAATGTAATTCATTCCTTTTATTTGGCCTGGGAAGTAAAGAGCATGGGAGGCTGCAGGGCTGGAGCGGGGGGCACTGTCAGAGCTGTGGTGAGCCCAAGGTTGGGCTGGCAAGGGCACCCGCTGGGCAGGAGGTTGCTACCTGCAAAGCCTAACTCCTCCTTGGTTTTGCCCACAGCCAAGTTTGGTGCCAATGCTATCCTGGGAGTTTCGCTGGCTGTGTGCAAGGCGGGAGCTGCAGAGAAGGATGTCCCCCTGTACCGGCACATTGCTGACCTGGCCGGCAACTCCGATCTCATCCTTCCTGTGCCAGTAAGACTCCTCCATCCTTGATATCCACCTTGAGAAACTCCAAAAGAAAGTTCAAAGGGTGTGTTGGGAGGTAGAGAAGGAAGAGATATAGGACTGAAACATCAGCTGAGTGCACTGCACTTGCCAAGGAAGCAAACTAGGGCCTGAGATTTGTCAGGTTTCAATATGGAAAAGAGGGCCCTGAGGAGGATACAGCAGAGGTTGTGGTGGGGGTTGGCTGAGGATCTCACTCTTGGCACAAGAACCAGAGGGCATCATGTGAACCCTCTGGGACACAGTTCAAAACAGGGGAATGTGGGTCTTCAGACCAGGGGTAGCTGCCCTGTGAAACTCCTTCACAAAGGCTGTTGTGGATGCTAAAGTTTTCTCGGGATCAGGGAGAAAGATCCTGGAAGAGAGATTGACGTAGCATTGTTGATAAACACGTACAGATAAACACAGCACAGATAAAACACATGTAGCTCAGGAGTGGGAAACAGGTGGGAAAGTCCTCTCCAACCATTTGCTTTGAGCCACTTTTGGAAGGAAGACACCAGGCTGTATGTGCCTTTGGTGTGATGCGTTGTAGCTGATGTGTTACGTTATCCTGTGGGATGTGGCATGAATGGGCATGGTGACTCATCTGCGAGCCTCCTCTAGGTGGTGCCAAGACCGGTTCCTTCAGCTCTGATTCTCTTATGGACTCTTCCAGGCTTTCAATGTGATCAATGGAGGTTCCCACGCAGGCAACAAACTGGCCATGCAGGAGTTTATGATCCTGCCTGTGGGAGCTGAAAGCTTCCGCGATGCCATGCGCATCGGGGCTGAAGTCTATCACAACCTCAAGAGTGTCATCAAGGAGAAGTATGGCAAAGATGCTACCAATGTGGGTGATGAAGGAGGCTTTGCCCCCAACATCCTGGAAAATAGTGAAGGTGAGAGCCCTGCAGACATGGGATACCCCTGCCTGCAATGCTGTGGCTTCCTACACCCAGCTCACAGCATTCCCCAAAGATTGGTTCAAAATGTGATGCCTCAGTGTTATTGACCTCCTGTGTTAGAGAATGGTTCCTAAGCTCCTTCTCCTTGGGGTGGCCTTGATCTGTCACGGCCTTTCACACGTGCGCAGACTTCTCCAAGGCCTTCCCCTAACTTGTCACTGGGCTGTGGATTGTATTTTAATTCCTCCTCGTCCTTTTGGATATGGCCTCCACAGCTCCTTGGCATGTTTCTGTTGCGCTCTGGGCTCCCTTCTACCTCTCCCATCACATCGTCAGACTCTCAGTGGTTCTCGGGACCCTCCCAGGGGAGGTTCCCACTGAAAGTCAGAGCTCTCTGCACAGGCTGACTCTCATGACTGCAACTTTCCTCCTCCCAGCTCTGGAGCTCCTCAAGGAAGCTATTGACAAGGCAGGCTACACGGACAAGATTGTCATCGGTATGGATGTGGCGGCCTCTGAGTTCTACCGTGATGGCAAATATGACCTGGACTTCAAGTCCCCAGATGACCCAAGCCGCTATATTTCTGCAGATGAGCTGGGTGACCTCTACCAAAGTTTTGTACGTGATTATCCAGGTGAGCTGCTGTGCTTGGCAGTAGGGAATCAGCACTGATGTTGCATACTTAACGGGTGCATCCCCTCTGTGTTTTTGGGGTGGGAAGGGTTGCAGCTTTGACTCATGTCTCTTCTGTTGTCCCTTCAGTGGTCTCCATCGAGGATCCCTTTGACCAAGATGACTGGGAGGCCTGGTCCAAGTTCACGGCCAATGTGGGGATTCAGATAGTGGGAGATGACCTGACAGTGACAAACCCCAAGCGCATCGAACGAGCTGTTGAAGAGAAGGCCTGCAACTGCCTTCTGCTCAAAGTCAACCAGATTGGATCTGTCACGGAGGCCATCCAAGCGTAAGTGCAGCCCGCTGCCCTTGTCCTGCGAAAGGGTTGGTGATGAACCACAGCAGGGTGTCACGCTATCTATTGGATGAATAGACTTTTGTCTCTACCAGAGCGTAGGATGCTGAGGGTGGGAGGAAAGGGTGCCTGGATCTCACCCTGTGCAGGCGGTGGTAATAGGAGTGAGAGCTACTGACTGCATTTCTCGCTCCTTGCAGCTGCAAGTTGGCCCAGGAGAACGGCTGGGGTGTGATGGTGAGCCACCGATCTGGGGAGACCGAAGACACCTTCATTGCTGATCTGGTTGTAGGACTGTGCACTGGGCAGGTGGGTGAGACCCAGGCCACGCACAGGCCTGGAGGAAAGCGAAGGGATGTGAAGACAGAATCCCCTGCCCTGCCATGGGAAACTGGTACAAGTCATAACAGTGTCTTACAGTGTTTGTTTTGGGGAATGCTTTGCAGATAAAGACGGGTGCTCCCTGCAGGTCTGAACGCCTGGCTAAATACAACCAGCTCATGAGGTAAGGGGCTCCAGGGACGGGAACCCAGAAGAGAGAACGGGGGAGTGACTAACTGGGGTGGGAGAAGCTGAAAGCCCAAGGGTAGATGGGGCTTGTGGGGGAAATGTCATGAAGACAAGGCGCAGAGATGACAGTGGGATCCCAGGGAGATCTCTGGAGCAGACTCCTTCCCTCCTCCTTGGCGTGAGGGTGCAGCTCCACAGGTGCAGCAGCTGGCAGGAGCTGAACTCCTTTGGCCCATGTCAGCTTCCTGGCCAATGCACTGCCTCTCCGGCGCCCTGGTGCTTCCGATGCTCCCTCACAGCAAGGGCCTGATGTGTGCTGTCTCTCTCTCTCCTGCAGGATTGAGGAAGAGCTTGGCGATGAAGCACGCTTTGCCGGACACAACTTTCGCAACCCAAGTGTTCTTTGAACATTGTCCCCAGGGCACAGCCACCCTGCTGCTCTTTCCCACCTCACAGACTGTGAAGCCCCCTTCCCTCCACTGCTCCCTTTTTTGCTTTTTCTTGCCCCCTCCGCCACCCGGTTCCCTCTCACCTCAAACCCCCTCGAGTTCAGGTGTCCCCGGCTAGACGTACCCAGGTGAAGGATGAGAGAGAGGCCTACACCCTGTCCCTTGCTTTGGGGTCATAAGCATTTCTGGATCTAGGCGTTGTGTGTCTTTTGTTTTTTGTGCAGGGCCGCGTCTGAGCTGCTCTGTTCATGTGTTAGACTACGAGAGCATGCTGCCCGGTGTGTTTCCCTTGTACGCCGAAGCATGTGCAGTGAACATATGTGCGTCGGCTGGTGTGTTAGGACAAGTGTCGCACCTGTAGCTGTGTTTGGACGAGTGTCGCCAGTGGCTCGCTCTCGTTGTGCATGCGTGTAGGTGTATGTGTACTGGCCTACAGCGTCCTTGTGCCCCAGGTGTGTGTTTGCGCTGAGCCCTGGTGGGACCTGAGTGTCCCCTCCTTCCACCACGAGTGCTGTGCTGTGCTGTGTTGGGCTGTGCTTGCCAGCAGCTTAGCGTTGAAGTGCACTGCTGTTCCTCACTGGGGGTGTGTGTGTGTGCTGTCAGTCTCCGGGCCAGCACGTAGTACTGTGGGGCGATATATTAAAACACATCCGTAAACAAACCCATGCTCTCATTTGCTTCTTGTGACCTTTTTCTCTCTGTTTCCTTCCCTCTTGCACTCCTTCACCCTCTTCTCCGCCCATAATGTCTGCTTCACCTTCTGGACAGCCCATGCTCAGCTGAGCAACAGACAAACTACAGATCCCTAAACTCAATTAAAATGTATTTCACACCTGAGTTGCCTGGCTTGGCCTGAAGTTTCTCTCTACACGCCAGTGTTTGGGAAGTGGGGACATTTTGCCATCAAAGCACGAGAGGCTCACGCAGAAAGGTAACCAAAACAAGAGAAAGAACAGGCCCAGGTACCCCCACCTCCTTCCACAGCCTTGTCCCACAGCCAGACTGCTCTGTCGGCCACCCAGCTGGGGAACACCGAGGGGAAGGCAGGTGGGAGGGTGGGAATTGCCCCCACCATCTCCACCAAATCACGTCGCATGAAGATCTGCTGTGCAGGGATTTTAATCGTGCCCTCCACTGATGTAAAGACCTCAGGACTGGCCACAGGCCAGCTGCCCACTTGACATCAAGCGATGGTACGCTGGAACTGCAAGTCTTTGGGAGAGAAAAAGCTGATCCCCCTCCCCCAAAAGGGGCTTGCAGAGCAGTGGAGGGGTAGGCGGGATGTCAGTCTCTCAGCTCCATCTTGTTTCACAGGGGCAACACAGTGGTACTTGGTGAAAGTATTCCAGCTCCAGCTGGTGCCCCGGCAGGCTGAGTGCCAGCAAACCCCAGTGCCTGCTCAACAGCGTTATTCTGGACAGGCTCCGATCGAGGTGGGAGGCCGGGGGTTGCTACTGTGAGAAATCCAACCCAAGCTATGACAGAGAATAAACGATAACGGCACCCTGCCCACCGTTATCAGCTCAGGTCAGTAGCCCTAGATCTAGGGGATCACTAGTGAATACAGAACAAATCTCGGTGCTAATGAGTAGCTTGTGTTCTAGCTGCAGGCCATGTCTCTCCCACGGTCTCCCTGAAGTCTCCCCCTCAGCCTCTCGGAGCAGCGGCGTAGCCGCGGAGTAGAACTCCCCCCAGACTCAAAGGCTGCACCTAAAAGCCAGTGTCCAGCTCCACACCTCATGCCCACGGGTGAACAAACCCGCGCAGGCCCCGAAGATGCTGGGAGGCAC